GGAGAAGTTTCTTGTTCACCATTGCTGGATTTGTGACGACAAAATATTCAAGATGCAATTAAAAAAAACCATAAATACAGCTTGGATTTGCTCTGGAAACTAGATGGACAGAAATGCAATATTTTATTGGGAAAGTGTTCTGCAATCTAGAGATCTAGAGTGCGACTAAAATCTTAAATAAAATTGCATCTAGATTTTTAAAAGTGCTAAAGATATCTATAACATTATTATTTTAGTTCATTATTTTAGTCAGGAAAATAGTTTTGATTCTTTTGTCATTATGTCTATTTTATTTGCCACACTTAAGTTTAATGAGTGTTTGGATTGGCATGGATTTTCAGTGCAATAAATAAACATATAGAAATCTCCAGGATTAGGACAATAAGTTACTGTTTCTTGCTTGTAGAGAGGAGAAGAGAAAAGGAAGGTCAGGTTTATTACAAAACATTTTGTTATCTTTAATGTTCCCAGAATCATTAATCTGATTTACCCATAGATTTCTTAATTCCTCCCAATGGCCATATCTGGGTTCCATGTTGATTTTTATATCAGATAATAAAATGGTATCGCCAGCGAAGGTCAAAAGTAATTACTCAACAAAAGGCAAATTCCACAAACAGGACTAAATTGAAATAGAAATAACATATTGTAGACTGGCCAGAGTGTGTATGTGAAAGGTGCATAATTAATAAGTATGAAGAAAATATTGTAAATGTTCATCATAATACCACCTCCGCCTTAAGTGTACATCCTAGTCACTCCATAAATAAAACATGATGCGCAGGTTTCTGTCTTCATGATTTTTATGGCTTTTTAAAGAAGTTGTTTTTGTGGAAAAGGAAAAAAAATAAGTTTTCTAAGATTAAAGATTCATACACTATGCTATTTGTGCTAACTACAACAGCTTCAAATACCTGAGGCTGGAAGGCTCGGAGCTATTATTCATTAATTGTAAAAACTACAGTACTGTGAAGATTCCACCCACTTCATTAGAAACAAGGGATGCATCATTGTTTGAAGCACATCTTGAACCTTTTTAATGCTGTGTGAAAATGGTACATTTTCACATGTTTGAGCAAGCAGAACTTTCCCAAGAAGTCTTTTGCTTTAGGTATGAGATGTAGCCTACGTTGTCAATTGTATGCCAAAACCATGCCTACGTAATTCAGGAATATTAATTCACACCAAGAATACTTCGCAGAAAGAGTTCAGTTTCCATTTTGTGTCTGTACACATGTGATCCCTGAATAAGTATGTTTTTGAAAAGTGACGTGCGTCAAAACTAATGTGGTTGGGAAATTATCACTACTGTAGAGTAACAGTTTGGGCTGGGTTTGTTCAAAGAAAAACATATTTGCATGCTTGCAGTAATACTCTGCAGAATGTATCTCAATCATACTAGGATGATGAAGTGAAGATGATCAATTCTAGTTATAAGTTCAACAGGTTTCCTGTATAATGCAATTGGTATTATGTTATTCTAAGCAGTTTGGGGTGGTGGTTAAGGCATCATTCTGGAAACTAGAAAACAGTGAGTTTTAGAGCCGAGGTGGTGCAGTGGTTAGGGTGCAGTACTGCAGGCCACTTCAGCTGACTGCTATCTGCAGTTCGGCGGTTCTAATCTCACCGGCTCAAGGTTGACTCAGCCTTCCATCCTTCCGAGGTGGGTGAAATGAGGACCCGGATTGTTGGGGGCGATATGCTGACTCTGTAAAGCGCTTAGAGAGGGCTGAAAGCCCTATAAAGCAGTATATAAGTCGAACTGCTATTGCTATTGCTAGTCCCACTTGAAGCGGACGGGAAAAAACCCACACCAGGTAATACCTAATCAGAATAATAGCTGGTTATATATGGATGAGTTCAATGTTTATTCAAGACCTTCTGATATATAAAGCACTAGAGAAATGCTCTTAATGATGGGTTATGAGTGGGTATTGGTGCATTTAAACAATGTTATTAAAGACTTGGAAGCCCAACAACAAGATAAGTCTGCTTTTCCTAAGAACATTTTCTTAGTCAAACTCCCCTTTTCAAAGCAGCAAGATCATAAAACTGTCCCCAAACTCCAAAGGCCACTAATTTTAGCACACCTCAATGCACTTTCCACACCAGTTTTGCAGGACCAGTATAAAAAAAATCCATATGAGTTGACACTGCACCCCTGTGAACAAGGGGCTATTGAAACTGCTTAAGTCCTACTATACTGTAACTTCTATAAGGACTCTGATAAAATACCCAGGAAACATTGATATTTTTATGTACAATTGCTATTATCAGAGCACCAAGAAAAAATTTCTTTGTAGCTAAATTTTGTTATACTGTTTACAGTATTAAGCTGATTTTGATTATTACCAACAATCCACCAGTAATTGTAACATATTATTATTATTTGATGTCTCTTATTTGTAATGCTGTTCTGTGACATAATCAAAATTATTATTAGGCACTTTTAAAAGGGTAGGATACTGTTTCTAAATCTATGGACTGCTATTTGCATGAAACGAACTGAAATACCCTATTTTACTTGGAAACAATGTATGAGTTGCTTTACTGTGAATGTATGAGAGGATGTATTTATTTTACTCCATTGTAGCATATATAATTATTCAGATTCACCTACCCCGTTGTGTTTAAATAGTTACATAAAATGTCATTATTAAACAATAGGCTATTGTTGTTTGTAGAATTTATGTTTGTATAGCAATAGCAATAACAGTTAGACTTATATACCGCTTCATAGGGCTTTCAGCCCTTTCTAAGCGGTTTACAAAATCAGCATATCGCCCCCAACAATCCAGGTCCTCATTTTACCCACCTCGGAAGNACTTTTGCACAACGCTTTAGATCTGCTGTGATGTAAGTACAATTTTTGAAAAAAACATTTGATGGCCGAGCCACAGTTAATATACCATAGGTCTGAGAACTGCAAAATATATGTATAGATATAGCAACGTTTTGAGTGGGGGTTTTGGGGGTACATTCTTTATTTCTAAATTATGATAGGATGTTTCCCACTTCAAAATAGCAGAAAACGGTGTTTCAGCAAACATCCAGGAGCTGTAGAAGGGCTAAAAAGACGAATAATATGTATCCAGCATGTCTTTCCCTTTCATTTAACAAAGCAAGAAAGAGTAAGAAGTAGTAAAATAAATTGAAGGCAAGAGATCAGAGGAAATATAATTTGAATGGAATTTCTACTGGTGCATTTTATTAAACTTTATCATGACTTTCTAAACTTACAAATCATCCTTGCTTCAACTATATTCATATACTGTTATCATATGTTGCCTTTTCTTCTTAAATTTCTTACCTATCTTTATCAGGACCTCAAAAACTCCATCCTTGTACAAGCGCATTAAAGTATCAACTCTAACATGATAGATTCAGATCTTATTCAGATCCTATAAGAGATAGTATGTAATGAGTTTTGCGATTTAGAAAGCATTTACGCAACATAAATACTGATATATTTTTTCTGTAATTACAACAATAACACTTTTTAAAAAATCCATGTTTATTCTCACCATAGGCATGGGTAGATAAAATGTTACTGTAACTTTGAACTACAGTAACTAATTTGCATATTCATACCTTTTTGGCTTCTGAACTAATGATCAGGATGTTTGATTTTGCCATTTGCAGGGGAAGTTGTAGCACAAAATATAGAATACAGAAATATAAATAGCAGTAGTTGGTTCTTACAGGCTTGGATACAAATCCATTGTGTGAAAATATCACTAAGTATGCAAAAGTTTGAAGACTTCCACCTGAGTTGCATATTGGCTATTATCATCATCTTTCTCATTTCTCATCTTTCCTACTATCTTCTTCTATTGGTATGTCATGATTTATCACTTGTAGTTTGTATCCTATGATTAATGATTGTAACTATGATTTATGACCTATCAGTTTGTTGTTGTATGTGTGTACACTGAGAGCTTATGCACCAGATTTATAATTTATTGCTTGCATGTACATTGGGAGTGTATGCGCCGGAGACAAATTTGTGGTGTATCTATTGTGTCCTGTTCCTATTCCTATTCNCCCCCCCTCTCTCTTTTCTGTCTTTCTCGGGTGCGATGTTTCTGGCCCTGTTCGGCCCGAGGAAACCTCTGCACACGCGCAGTCCAAAAAAACAACAACCCAAAAGTGAAACTGGCCAGCCGATCGTGTGTGCACCTGACCCTGCAGGTGCCCGAGTCCAAAGGGAGGGTTTTTTGGTTTTTTTTAAAGAGAGGTTCGGGATGTAAACGTCACCTACGGACTGAGGTGTATTGCCACCGTATACCTGTCTTTTGGGGGGGCGCGTGGGTTTTCTACCCCGCTCCCCTCCCCCCCCCAGGGTGCTTTCGTCATGGAGGAAAATTGATATCGGGAGTCGTGGGTGGAGTTAAAAGAACTCAGGGGCATAATCGAATCCCGCCGATTCTAGATAAATGGATTTGTGGATTCGAACCCCACGTGTGTTTTGCTTGTTAATTCGGCCTCAAAAGGATGACTTGAATGGGTGAATCATCAGTTCCCTGGAAGAGTGACTCACTTCTGCTACGCGCGCCCGCGAGCATGCATGCCTGTTTTAGATTATCTTTTCCCGATCTCGGATCGAAGTAGTAGAGGATTAGCATCATAGTGCAGAGGAGAAACATATATATATATATATATAACATATATATATATATATATTTTTAAAAAAGGAAGCTGCTCTTTTGGCAAATTACAAATTCCATTGGGAGCCGAACTGCCCTTTTGGATTTTCGGATTTTGTTTTGGCATGTTAATTTATCTTAAGTCTGACTAAATGAATATCTTGTCAAGATGACATTAGGTAGTTTGCAATTAGTAGAAGCTTTGAAGTTTATTCAAGAACATAGGGTGTTCTGTTTTGTGCCTTAGGGAAAAGGAGAGTGATATGAAACGATGAAATGTACATTTATTTCTCTAACATGTTACATGTTTTTTTGCCCTTTGCTTTTCTTTACAGAAGTTAACTTTGTTGTGATGAATTTTAAGACATTGTGGCGTTTGAGCTTGTTGAAATTATATAAGGTACATTTAATTTAAATGCAAAGCAACAGCTAGCAATGCCGCTTCATCAAGTTCTGTTGTCCTGCTCTTTTAGAAGAGATTCACAATAACAATTTTAGTATGGAACCATTTTAAACAATAGTATTAGTAGTAAGGACCACAGCAGAACATAATAGAATAGCCAGTGTTTATGCTTATATATTCAGGATTTTGAAACTTTTATAGTAAGAGGATAGATATGCAGTCATTTAAGGTTGTATTAAAACATGTTTTCTTGATATGCATGACAGCAGTGCACTTCACTGTACAAACAAAATAATTTTCTTCATTTATTGTTTTGTTCAGAGCCTTAATGTTGAAATCATTGGCAATAAACCAGAGTGGTTAAATGGACTGAAATAAGCTCATCAGATGTGCTGATGGACTCATTCCATTTAAATCTAAGTTACAATTGCAATTCTAAACATTGTGCTATTGGAGGAAATCATCCCGAATTCAGTGAAATTTAACCCGTTTAGCCATTTTCACACTATTGATTTATAATATCTTATAGCGTTATAAGTGCTATATAGCATTATAGCTATTGCTGCAAAGTTCTAAACCTGCCTTCATTTATAATATATCGCCACAGCATTAGCTGCATGTTCACTATAAAACAGTATAAAATCATTGGTGTGGAAATAGTCTAAATAAACATGCACATGTTAAGCCACACTGAGATTTCTGAGGAAAGTTAGTCACAAATAGTTAAGTCAGCACTAGTAAAGTACTAAGTTTAATTTTCTATAGATTGCTGTTCTTAGTATACCATAGCTACTAGAAAATATGAGCTACAGAATTTGGTGGGGTTTGGTGTTTTTTTTTTTTGAGTTAATGTGGAGTTATATAATGAGTTTATAATTTTATAATTTCACTAAATCTTGGTGAAGTTCAACAGTTTAGGAATTTCTATTGAATATTTCAGAAAGAATTTGTTAGGATGTATGAGAATAACATCATAGCTTGCTTGAACCAAATAAGTCTGGATCTTGTAAATTACCAGGACAGAAGATTATTTGGGAATCCCCTGTTTCATTGAGGAAGAAAATGAAGTGTAGATGAGATATGTCAACTTAACTGAATAAAAGTTACTTAGTCCCAAGAATATATTGCAAGTACAATAAAAAAAATTGTATTTCTGGGATTGGTGCCTTTTGTTTCTAATGAAAATAGGAACATTAACTTTTCTTTGCTCTGAATTTATTGCAGAGCACAATAAACCAGTAATCAATCAGAGTAAATCCTTCAGGGGTCTTTCTCTAAAAACTTTTGTTGTCTATTTCTGTCTGTTATTTTATCTCTGAGAGTGCACTCTAATGAAATGCCTGGCATGCCTTTGCAAAGTGTTAACTGTGCAAAAGTGTTAGTCAGTTGTGCAAAATTGCTGCAAATTAAGAATGCTTTTAGAAATAGAAATGTTAATAGTTTATTTTTATCAATTAACAAGATGGAAAATAAACAAAGAGAAATCCAAATCAAATCAATATTTGGTGTGGTCACCTTTGCCTTCAAAACAGCACCAATTCTTACACTTGTATAAAGTCAGAGATTTTATAGAATTAGAGTCAGGTGTATGATTAAGCAATTATACCAAGGAGGTGCTAATGATAATTTCATATGTAAGTTGAAACCAATCAGAAACAGACGCCTAGGAGGCTTAAAACTGGTGGAGAAACAGTCAAACCCTGCTACTAGGGTGAGGTTGTGGAAGACAGTTTCATGTCACAAGTCACGCACCGTGGCAAAACTGAGGACAGGAACAAGGCGCAGGGTAATTATACAGCACCAGCAAGGTCTCTCTCTGGCAAAGATTTCAAAGTAGACTGGGGTTTCAAGGTGTACTGTTCAAGCTCTTTTGAAGAAGCACAAAGAAACAGGCAATGTTGAGGATTGTAGATGCAGGAGTCAGTCAAGGAAAGAATGCAGCAGATGAAAGACACATCATGCTTCCTTCCCTTTGACATTGGAAGATGACCAGCAGTATCATCAGCAAGGAACCGACAGAAATCAGTGAGTCCCAAGAACACCCATCTATTGTCCTGAGAAGTCTGCCCAGAAGTGGCCTTCATGGAAGAATTGCAACAAAAAAGCCATACCTCTTGATGTGGAAACAAGGNGGAAGGCTGAGTCAACCCTGAGCCGGTGAGATTTGAACCGCCGAACTGCAGATAACAGTCAGCTGAAGTGGCTGCAGTACAGCACTCTCTAACCACTGCGCCACCTCGTATTCCTTCTCCTACATACTATTATTTCATCCAGAACTGCGGAGTATCTTATGGTGCCACACACTATATCTAGAATGACTATGGATTGTCTAGTGGTTTCAGCTTTGCAGGGCACTACTTTAATTGAGGAGTTTGAGCTAATTTCTAATTTCTGGATTTAGACAGCAGGTTGAGATGAACGTTACGCTAATCTTCAAATCCCTCTGTTAACCATCTTATATTCAACACGTAAAAAGTCCACAAATGGTTTCCAGTCTCTTATTTAGCTGTCTAGTCCATTATCTCTAATCAAAGCAGTTAATTTTGCCATCTCTGCTAATTCAGTCTATTTCAAAATCCATTCTTCAACAGCATCTCTTTTTCTTTCCAGTTGTTTGACAAGTACAATCCTCACAGGCCTCGCCAGGTAAAAGAATAGCACCCCAAATTGTTTTCAATTGACTTGTCCCTCATATCTAAAAAAAAGTTTCAGGTTTTCATTAATATTTGTATCTTAAATATTTTTGCATTGTCATTGCTATGGTTATCCAACAGAGGTGGATACCTTCCCTACTGGTTCGCAAATGTGAGCGTGCTCGCATTAATGTCCAATTCAGATTTAGTTCCAGTGAAAACAAAACTTTTTTTTATCAAGTTTAAATCTTTCAAAAATTCTATAATTAAACCAATTGCAAGCCAATCATTCACTTACTAGTTGTTTCATTGTCTTTATCTTAAATCCTTTTTTTTTTCAAATATCAGTAAGTCTCAATATGTCATCCATTTATATTCCGAAAACATCTGTCCTATGTAGTGCTTTATGAGGAAATAGCCAAAGTGAGACTTTTTCAGCTAATCTTCTTTTATACTTCCACCATAGACGTGCAATCGATTGCCTAATAACACGAATCTTGAAGCCAGGGTTAACTTTTACTTTGACATACCACAGATAGGCATACCACCCAAATCTCAAATCAAAAACTTCAAGATCTAACAGCCTTGAATTTTTTTAAGTTATCCAATCTTTTAGCCATATCAGACAACAAGCATCATAATGTAATCTTCCACCTTTATGTTCTTAGTATTGTCATCTTTGATTTATTTATTCTTAAACCTGCCATTTCTCCAAACATTTTAATCTTCTTCATAACATGTTCAATGTTCTCTAATGTGTCTTGTACAATCAATGTCAATTTTTTGGCATGTGGGCTTAATTTGTAATTATGCACTCTATTTAATAATTCCAACACTAACATAAATAATAAAGAGGGTAAAGGACATCCTGCCTTGTTCCCTTCTAGATTTCAACTAGTTTTGAAAAGTCTGCATTCACCATGATTTAACCTCTAGGTAACTAATCACAGGAGGGGAAAAACTTTCTCTAGTCATTTGGTGATTTATAACTAATAAGCTTACACTGTACACTTATGTGTTGAATTCTATAAAGGAAGAAAGTTAGTATTCAAAAGTAATAAATATATGAAGAAAAATAACTTTTCAGTTACATATAGTTATGTTTAAACTAGATTATAAAACTAAGTATCTAGATGTATTTTGTTTTTTAGCTGAAATTAAATATTTAGAAATCTCAATTAGGAGAGTACAGAGTTGCAATCTACAGGAGCATTAACAAAGCACCTTTCTTGGATCATTAAAGCAGCTATGTCTTTTGCCATCCTCACATAACTAATTCCTAAGTTGCTTCCTCTGGTCTCTGAATATTATGAAGCATTTCTTTCAAATATTTGCATCAAATGCATTACTGCAAAATGAGAATTTCCAGCCCAGAATTGAAAAAGCTCAGAAGGTAATCCTCTAAAAGTCTGTTTTTTATAGTTACACAGCAGCTGCTTTTGCAAAACACTCTTAATAGTTGTTTTAATTTTTATTGCTTAAAAAATAACATTAGACATAAAAATTAGGGAAATATAAGTAGTAAGCAATTTTGCTGAGTGACTGTACCTATGATTACTACCGAACAAAATGTTTTTCATATTACTGTTGTGGTAAAACCAGATGTTTTGATCAGAAGTGTCACAATTTTATATTTGATTTTGGGAATGAATATACATTGAAATTTTCTTATTTTCCTTAAAATGAAAGAAAGAAAAAGTCTCCCCTCTTAATTTCTTAATGGCAAATTATTGTAAACCTAAGGAGGAGCAGTGTTCTCAGACCAACCTACCGAACAAAGTTGTTGGGAGGAATAGGAGGAGGGAGTACTATGTGCATCACTTTGAGATACTGTCAAAAAGGGAAATTCTGTTTCAAATGAATAATTAATTCTGTATAATTGAGTCACCAGTTGATTTTCAGCAATTAAAAAAGGGTTTAACAGAAGTTTGATTGATATGCCATCAAGTCCTTTTCAACCTCTTATCAACTGCATAGATAGATTTTCTCCATGATGATCTAATCAGTTCGTTGAAGTCTCCCAAGGACACCTGTGGTGAATCTATCCTCCTCCACCTCCTCCTCCTCCT